CAGAAATACTTTGAAAACAGGGACTGAGGGAGGGTAGGGGAGGGGGGGGGTAAGGGGGAAAGAGCAACCAAAGAACTTACATGCAGGCATAGAGGCCTAACCAAGGGACCCGGACAACGGGGGGGGAGGGCAAGAGCGGGGGGGGTAGAGGGTAACGTGGGGACAAGGACACATATGTAATTTCTTAATCAATAAAAATATATTAAAAAAAAAAAAGTATATGATCTACATGTTGCTATACCATCTCAACTATATATATATTTTTTTATTAGTACCAGTGGTAAGCACCAATAATAGTAGCTGTGATGGCGAGCTAACAAGACGGTCCCCTATGATCCTCACCTCCCAGGACTCATACCATTGTATAGTTTCCTTCTATGTTGAATCAGTGACCAATAGAATACTTTAAGGCTGAGCAATAAGAGGCATTGCCACTTCTCCTTTGAACTCTTGGATCTTTCCAAGAGCTGGGGGAAGCCACCTGCCATGCCATGAAGAGATTTAAGCAGCTCTGTGGAGAGAGCCACCTGGGAATGAACTAAGGCAGTGATTCTCAACCTGTGGGTCGCGATCCCCTTGGGGGTCAAACGTACCTTTCACAGGGGTCGCCTAAGACCATCGGAAAACACATATATAATTACATATTGTTTTTGTGATTAATCACTATGCTTTATGTTCAATTTGTAACAATGAAATTGGGGGTCACCACAACATGAGGAACTGTAGTAAAGGATTAAGGCATTAGGAAGGTTGAGAACCACTGAACTAAGGCCTTCTAACAGGCCAGTACCACACATGTAAGTGAGCCACCTTTGAAAGGGATCCTCCAGCCCCACTCAAGTCTTCTGATGATTGCAAACCAAGCTAACATCTGGCTGCAAGCTCATAAGTGTCTACAAGCCAGAAACTCTTAAATGTTCAAGTCACAAAAACTGTGCGGTAATGAATCATTATTGCTGTTTTAAGCCATCAGGTTTTGAAGTGATTTGTTATGCAGTGATAGATTATGAATACAATAGCTAACATTTATTGTGCATTAACTATGTTCTAGGAACTATATAAGCACCCATAGCCCTATGATGTAGATGCTAGCTCCAAAGCCTAGATTCTGTCACTATTCATACAGGCCAGAAAAATGCCTCTTAGGATAGCTAAGCAGCAGAAGCAACGGAGCCTCCAGAGGAGAGAAAACTTGTATAAAACCAGCAAGGGGCACTCCAGGGGCAAGACCAGCAATGGCATTAGTGTCTGATGCTGTAAGACCCAAAATTCCAAACCGGCCCCACCCCCTAGCCCTGGTACTAGCAGACTAGTCCCCGGTCAGGCCAATCCTGTCCAAGATGCCTGGGACTCACCCAGATCTGCAGCTTCACTCGCTTCTCATTGCGGTAGACTGTCTTCACCTTGAAGTCGATGCCCACAGTGCTGACGAAGGCCGGGGTGAAGGTGTCATCAGCATAGCGGAAGAGGAAGGAGGTTTTGCCAACGCTGCTGTTGCCGATGATGAGCAGTTTAAACATGTAGTCAAAATTCTGGTCGGAGGCATCTTTGACCCCGGCTTTACTATCGGTCACTGAAGCCATCTGCAGGAGAGACCTGTGGTCACTCAGGAACACATCTCTAGTGTCACCAACCTTTTAATGGTCACTCCGCCATTCACATACTCATTCCCCACCCCAGCATCACTGAGGAAACACACACTACTCAGAATCACCCCATCACTGCACCTGTCCCAATGTTGTCTCAGGATTAGGTGGAACCCAGCTCCTCCCATTCATTCCTTCAGCAAATATTTACTGAGCACATTGCTCTGGGTCAAACCCTGTGCGGGGCATGGGGAATACAAATATGAATCAGACATGGTGACTACCCTCTGAGTGGCCACAGATTAGAGTGAAAAAGCACATAAACTCATAGTAACAAAGTCTTGGCTAAGGAAGCCCACAAGAAGCTTCTAACCGAACCTGGAGGAATGGTGGTCAAGGAGAGTCTCCTATGGGAGGCAGCTCCTGAGCTGAGTTGTGAGGTGGGGGTGGTGGGGGGAGGCAAAGCCAAAACAGCAAATACATGAACATTTCAGGAAAGACCCTGTACAAGGCTATCATTCCCATTTCAAAAACTTTTGTGGCTCCCCACAGCTCTGAAGATCAAGCCCAACCTGTTCAACTCGACAAAGAACCAGAGAATAAACTCTAAACTTTATCTTCCCCTAAGTCTTCTCCCTACCAACCTGTGCAACTTTATACCAGATTACACACTTTACTCCAAACATGCAATATTCCTTGCTTTTGTCCCATTAGATAGTATTCTTTCTTTCTGTCTAGACATTCTTCTCCTAATAAACTCGTGCTCACCCTTGTAGATCTGATGAAGTCTTCCTTACCCGTGCATGGCAGGGGCATGCACTCCTGCCCTGTACTCCCAGAGCACTCTAACAGCACTTTCTACTATTTCAGAACTGTTCACTATTCTAGCTCCTCCTTTAGATCAAACATCTGAGACTTAAAGTACTTCGTTTCTGCCTCTCTAGCTTCTAGCACAAGTCCTAGTACATGATCAGCACTAAGTAAGTGTGCCCTGAATTAATAAGAGTCACGTCCTCACTCTGGGGCCCAGTCTCATCATCTGGAAAATGGGGAGAACAATTTCTGTCCTGCTCTCCTCGCAGAGCTGTTACAGGACTCAAATAAGATAACAATGAGTAAGACCTTCATAAACTGGTAAACCCCACACAGGTGTGAACATAAGTCATTCTTACTCCAAATCCTACAAAGCATAGATCCTTTGTTTATTGATTCATTTATTCAGCAGTATTTATTACATGCCAGCGGTTCCCTGAAACCCCAGCCCTCTCAGACCTGCCACCCAACCTCCCTTTTTCTTGAACACTTGAATCTGAACTTTATAATCCAGCACTTGGTCCCACAGTCTTTGAATGTTTAATTGCTTTTTCTACATCTCACCAGCTGTAGGTACCCTGCTTCTCCCTATGTAATTTCTTTTTGTGTTCAGCGCTGGGTACTTAGACATGTTGGGTGAGTAGTCAGGGGATGGTAGGAAGACAGCCCTACTGTAAGGTAATGTTCAGGTGTCACTCCCTTTAGGAATTCCTGCTAGGAGTGAGACTGGTGAATTTATCTCAATGAGCCTCTCCAGTGAGTTGTAAGGTTAAAGCTCTCCTGAAGAAAGGTCAGACAAATACGTGGGCTAATTTATTAGAAGCCCTTTAAGAATACTTCATTAAATATGCCACCACTAGCCTGTGGTGGCCTCTGTTCTTTCCTCTCTTTTCTCCCAGCTCTCAAGCCTTTATCTGAGACCTGCAGCCTCATTTCCTGTATCAATCTGCTCCATGGCAAGGCTCCTTGGGCAGGCATAGAACATTCCCTGGACCCCTGGCAACTGAGGCATAGCATTCGCATGGAAGAAGAAAGTGATATTGGAGGGAAGGGTGCTTACACTGTTTCATAGCCCTAACTTGTCAATTTTTCATGGTACAAGATGCAGAGCCTATTTTAAGAATTGGCAAAGGAATTATGCCTTTTCTAACTAAAACAAGGAAAGCAACCACAGTGCCCTCACCCTATCCTCTGCTCGGCTGCCAACCATCTTTATTTACAAGAGAAAATTCCAATTTTGAAAGTGTAAAAATTTAGAAAAAAGCTTAAAAGTATAAAGAGAAATTTTTAAATGACCAGACATCCCCTCCATTCAGAAACTGCCATTGTTGCCCTAACCAATTTGGCTCAGTGGATAGAGCGTCGGCCTGTGGACTGAAGGGTCCCAGATTCAATTCTGGTCAAGGGCATGTACCTTGGTTGCCGGCACATCCCCAGTAGGGGGTATGCAGGAGGCAGCTGATCGATGTTTCTAACTCTCTATCCTTCTCCCTTCCTCTCTGTAAAAAATCAATAAAGTATATTAAAAAAAAAAGAAACTGCCATTGTTAACATGTTGAGTGTATTTCTTCCCTTCTCATGCAATAAAATGCCATCTATTTTAAGTTGTATCTTATTTGTTAATTTAAAAAGTAATACACACATTGAAAATAATTCAAATAAATGTTTCCTATTTGTAAGTACTACTTTATCACCATCTGCAGTTTGCATTATTTTCTTAATTTTTAGCATGAAAGTAAGTAATATGGAACCTAAAGGTTTACAATGAAAAAACAAACAACAAAAAACTCCCACTTGGGCGGGGGGAGGCAATAGGGGGGATAAGGACACATATGTAATACCTTAATCAATGAAGAAAAAAAATAAAAACTTAAAAAAAAAAAACTCCCACCCGTGATTCCCAATCTCTGGTCCCTCTTCTCAACAGCAAACATGTTACCAATTCATTAATCCTTCAGAGACAGTCTTTATAAATATAAGCATAGAGGTCTGTTTATATTTTTATCTGTGTATAATGATAACATACTATACATTCTAGTCTATATTTTCTATGCACATTTTAACAGCTAAGATATTTTCACTAGTTTTGTACCCTGCTCCTTTTCACTTAACGTTGTCATATTTTACTAGACTTTTAAAACTCTTCATAAATATTATTTCAATTGACTGTTACATTATATTACATCTAAGGATGTGTCATATGACCAATTCTTTAATGTTATATATTTGTTATTTTTATATTCTTAATTATTATAAACTAGAGGCCTGGTGCATGAATTCATGCAAGGGTGGGGTCCCTTGGCTTGGCCAGCGATCGGGCCAATCAGGGCCGCAGGAGGTTGACTGTGAGAGTGCACTGACCACCAGGGGGCAGCTCCTCCATTGAGCGTCTGCCCCTTGATGGTCAGTGCATGTCATAGCAACTGGTCGTTCAGTTGTTCAAAAATATATATATTTTTATTGAGATTAAAACACAGTGACCATTTCTTTACATAAATACTTGTTCAATTTCCTGTTTATTTCCTCAGAAGCGATCTTAGAAGTGGAACTGCTGGTCAAAGAGTAACTTTGCTAAAACATAGATATGATCCATACCTCAATTTTATGTTCTTTTATTTTTAAAAATATATATATTTTTATTGATTTTTTACAGAGAGGAAGGAAGAGAGATAGTTAGAAACATCGATGAGAGAGAAACATCGATCAGCTGCCTCCTGTACATCTCCTACTGGGGATGTGCCCACAACCAAGGTACATGCCCTTGACCGGAATCGAACCTGGGACCTTTCAGTCCACAGGCCGATGCTCTATCCACTGAGCCAAACCGGTTTCGGCTATGTTCTTTTATTTTATCCTCTAAATAAACCTGGGAGATAAAATTGAAATGACAAAATTATTATTTCCATTTGATCAAGAAGGAAACCGAGAGCCAGATATTAGGAGGATTTGCCCAAGCCTCATAGCTACCGGCTGAGACTAGACCTAGTGCCATGCAGCAGTGTTATGGGAAAGTTCAACATCCCAGGCCAACTCCTCAGCTGAATTTCTTGGGCAAGTCAAGTGGCCTCTCTAATTCACAGTATTTTTACCTTAAAATAGAGAAAATACCACCTATTTCACAGACCTGTGGTGCAAATATATAAATAATCTGGCATAATTTCCTGGCCCATGTGAGGTACTCAATAAATATTATTTCACTGGCCCCTTTAATTTACCTCTGCAGTCAAATCTTGTTCAACTACCCTCTCCCTGATCTGGGCTACATTATTTGAGCTTGTTTTACAATTAACTATCTGCCTCCTCTCCTAGAATAAGCTGAGTTGTATCCATCCTTACACCTGCCAATACTGGATCTATAGTAAATCCTTAAGGCATATTATTCCTTTCAATAAACGTTTAGTGAGCATTTGCCATGTGCCAGACTATCAATGTAAATGTTATATTATTGGTCTTCATTCTTCTGACGCAGCTATTTACACTCTTAGATTCCTGGAATTAGGAGAGATTTTGGAGTGGCGGCTTTATCACAACAAAAAGCCTAGCTCCTGGTCCAGCTTTCCCAGTAACTCAATGTAAATGTATGAACTTGGGTAAGTCACTTAAACTCTGAGCTTCAGTGTCCTCATCTATGATATGATGATATTACCTACCTTGCAAGGCTGCTGTGAATTTTAAACAAGGGAATGTATGTGTGTTTCACTGTGTAGATAAAACTGCATGTGGCCTCACGTAGAATCAGCCTTTATTAGCTACGACTGCCACAGGTGTGAGAGTGAGGAGCTAGGCAAGAGTAAAAACAGTTTCAATTCCTGCCTGATCCACTCCCCTTCATTTTACAGTTCAAAATTTGAGGCTCCACAAGAGAAGTGATTTGTTCAAAGTCACATAGCAAGTCATGACCAGAACTTCTGTGATCTAATGACTCCCAGATTAGACTGGACTTAGAGGGGGAAAAAAAACTGCAACAATTTTAGAGGGAGTAAAGAAGCATCCCCGGCCCGCATGATGTTGCTCAGTGGTTGAGCGTCAACCTAGGAACCAGGAGGTCACAGTTCAATTCTCGGTCAGGGCACATGCCCAGGTTGTGGGCTCCATCCTCTGTATGGGGTATGCAGGAGGCAGCCGATCAATGATTCTCTCTCGTCACTGATGTTTCTATCTCTCTCTCCCTTTCCTTTCCTCTCTAAAATCAATAAAAATATATTTTTTAAAGAAAGCATCCCCAGCGCCCTGCGCATCTCTATCCTAGCACTTGCCACACTGTTTACGTGCACACAGCGTAGCTTTCCCAGTAGGTAGTGTGAGATCAGGAAGAGGCAGGGGGCAGAGAGGTTCAGTTGGAAGGCACGTTCAGATGTAAGCCCCAAGGGGATCTTTTCAAGAGGGGGCTACCCAGACACTTGGAAGGAGGTAAAAAGCACCCTAGCGAGCAGCTGCCTGAGGCAGATTGAAGCAGAGAGGTCACTGCACAGGGCGCATGCAGAACCACACTTGTGAGATAGGATCAAACACATCTTCCCTCTCTTTTGTGACAGTTACATAAATGATAGAGCCTGGTAGCTCACTGTCTCCGTGACAAGCCATATAGATGAAGGCCCAGGGACCATCTGGGAAGTCATCCCTGGTTTCTGGCTAGGCAACGAAGAAAATGGCTCCTGTAAGAGTTGGTGTGAGGCCCTAGCTGGTTTGGCTCAGTGGATGGAGTGTTGGCCTGTGGACCAAAGGGTCCCGGGTTCGATTCTGGTCAAGGGGCATGTACCTTAGTTGCAGGCTCCTCCCTTTCACAGGCCCTGGTGGCTTGTGAAGGAGGCAACCAATCAATGTGTTTTTCTCACATCATGTTTCTCTCTGTCTTTCCTTCTCTCTTCCACTCTCCCTAAAAAAAAAAAAAGAGTTGGTGTGAGAAACAAATAATGTGTTCAGTCTGATAGGAGCAGAAATAAACACCTCAGAAGAAGCCAACTTCAGCCAAGAAAGGGGGAGGGGAGAGGAGAGGAAAGAGGGCCCTAAAATCCAGCAAGAGGAGATCAATTCAATACATGCAGTGAATAGATGAACTCTCCCGATGGAAAAAGCATATGATTGAGTCAGAAGACCTGGGGTGAGCCTTTGCTCTCTCAGCAGTTGTGTAACCTTAGGCAGATCACACCCTGGGCCTCAGTTTCCTCATCTCTAAAATGAGTTAATAAAATGACTCCCTGGCAAACTATTTTAAGAATTACAACCAGTCTATGGGAGAGTGCTTTATAAAAACTCTTAATCTCTCTCTCTTTTTTTTTTTTTGTCTGTGTGCTTCATGTTTTCTTATCTCAGGTCATCCTGGGTAGTGGAAATAGCCTGGGGTTCCAAACCAAACAAACTAGATTCGGTTTCTGTGTCTATCATTTATTATCTGTGAGATCTTGGCAAGAAATTTCACATGACTAAGACACAGTTTCCTCATTTGTAAAAGCATTATTGGAAAGACCGTAGTCAGTGTTGGAAAAGCATGTAGGTAGTATATGACCTATAAGAGGTGCTCCTATTGGGAGCTTTTATCAGTGAGGAATAAAGAGCGAGTTGGGCATATGTGGACCTCACCCTAGTATATGCAACCTCCTCCCGAAACCCATACTCCACTAATTTTTCTAATTCAACCTTTCTTTAGGTCATTCCCCACTGATAACTCATCACCACCACCCAGCATATCTCCTCATTGTTTCCCCACAGAAACAGCTGCCATTTTTTGAGCACCTACTAAATGCCAGGTATTTTCAATACATTCTCTCTTGCATAAATAGAAGCTTGGAAAATGTTCACTTCCTTCTTTCTCCAGGATGGAGACCGCCATGGGTGTGGTCACTGACAGAATGTAGGCACACTTGTATAATAACATAGTGGTCTTTCTCTTTTGTACAGTGCTTTATAGATTATGAAAGTTCTTTTCCCCCACATTATCATATATAATCTTCACAACAATTCTTGGGGGGGTAGATAAGGAAATTGAGGCAGTAGTACAACCACAGCTCAATTATTCATTCAATCAGCATTCACTGAGCACGTACTGTGAGCCAGGCCCTGTGCTGCACTCTGGGGAGATGAAGAGGAACCGTAAGGAGTTCAAGCTTAGATGGGAAACCTTTTAAACATCCTATAGGTTACTGATGCCTCCTTTCATATCATAACCCTTAAGAAAGTGAAGATTTATTTCTTGGGCTAGAGATCATTTTTGAATTTAGCCTTCTCTCATACTGTTTCCTCTGATAGTAACATACTTTATTCTACTACAGGCTAAATCCTTCATGACCCATCATCCTCTAACAAAATGTCTCTCCTCCGGCTAACACAGCACCAGGGACAGGGCTTTTCAGGGACTTCCATTGTTTTCTCCCCTTTATAGGCACAGAACAGGTGGACATTCACCTGTACACACACACACACACACACACACACACACACACACATCTAATTTCATTCACTATCCCCCACCCTTTTCCATCTGGATTCTGAGAAATTGGGATGGAGGGCCCTGTCTTCCTCCCATCTCCCTCCGCATTTCTAGTAGCTTCCACATGCTGCTGCCCTGCTCCCCTTCTAGTCTCTTCTCACACCTGGACTCCAAAATAGTCAGCCTGTGGATGAATTTTCCTGTCCATGGTTCTCTTTGTCTTGTCGCTGATCACAGGTGGCCGTGTCATGGGGTCCAGTGTCTGGGTCCCCTTCGCAGCCTTCTGAGGAGCTAAGACACTGCTAGAGCCTGGGTTCCCATGGACTCCACTCTGGTCCCCCATCATCTTCCCAATCGCATACCTCTTCCCCAGCCTGACCCAGGGCACCCACCACCCGAAACTCTCCAAGTTCCCTGACAGCTCCTCCACTCAGCCACCAGACGCTGGCTCTATTGCAGTGCGTCTCCACCCCTCACCTTTGACCAGAACTCAGGTGCCCACTCCCCAAATCCAAGGCCCCTACCCTCTCCCTCCATCAGCTCCCCACCCTTTCCTCTGCTGGCCGGCGGGGTAGAACAGCCCGAGGTCCCACCTCCCCATTCTTTCAGGCTTCCCACCCCCAAGGCCAACCTTCGCCCCCACTCAGGTTACCCGCTTTGCCGGTACCCAGCTGGGCATGGCTCCCAGCTCTCCGCCTTCAAATCTCCTGTCCCCGACCAGCAGCCCTGACCCCTGCCCAGAGCCCCCCCCTCTCATCACCTCTCTCCTCTCCAGTTCAAAATGACCCCCGCTGGCCAGGCCCCCC